GGTCTGGAATTAGGGCGTTTTCAAAGACCTGCAGTCTTGGGTGCCTGAATGCTTGCAGAATAGCAGCACTTTCTAGGACATTCCCCATTGTATGTTTCAGTCCATGCTTTCCTTTTTTTCTTGTCTCAGTCTTCTTCCCTGCTAGTCTGGTTCTCGACAGGACCCAAACCCTGCAATACACTCAAATCCCCTTGATGGGAACCTGATTTCCTACTTGGCCTTTCCCAGTCACCCCATCCTCTCCCTAGTCTCATCCTTCCTGGTGAATTGCTCCTTTCCTAAATCTGTTGTGAATAACAATTTGACCACAGTGCTAAAGCCTCTCACTCCCTCACTTTAAATTCCTTTGGGAAGCAGTCATTCACGTTCATTTTAGACAATTTCCCTGTCCTGTGAGGGTCCTTCTCAAGAAGTCTACTCCCCAAACTCCTGCTGAGGTTGGTACCAGGTCACATTTTCATGACACCAGACCGACAATGAACTGGACCAGGATGGAAATCTAATCAAATCTTGGGCAATCAGTACATTCTCCTGGGAATATGTGAACCTCTAAGACTCCAGACAGGCCCTGCTGGGCACTTGATAGATAATATCTAGAGATGGTTTACAGGGGCTGATTATGTAACTCCAAGACAAGTCTGGGTAATTGACAGTTGCTGTGGTCCTATGACTCTAAGTTTATACCCTTCTGGAGGCTAAGGGTGATAAATGAGGACTCTATTTATGCCTGGGCATACTGTACCATAACTGCCCCCTAGGTATATTTGGCATTATGTAACCCTGAGTTGAAGAGAGGCAGCAGGCTCAATAAGCTGGTCCAAGCAGACAGACATGCAGAACTTTTTTTAGCTATATGTACATGTATGTAAAAGGCTGAGCATGGGCGAGGAAGACATCCAAAATGGGGCACACCTTGAATAGAACTTCGGTGTTTGGAATCTTACACCTATGCCAATTAGGGTAATATTGCTGATATTGACTATATATTCCTATTGGATTCTTTTTCTTCTGTCTTTCAGAAAAGTGAAATTTCATTTAACCAGATTGTGTCTGGTCTTCCCACCAAACCAAGATTAATACTTATTCATGCAACAAATATTACATGGCCCTACACAGGGAAGTGATATAAACTTGGAACTACTTCCTGTTATTCTCCGTGAGGCTCATGATATTGGTCATCTTAACATACAGGAGGGTAGGAAAGGTGTTGCGACATGGCCAGGCCAACACCATCTTCTCTTGGATTGGTGGAGGAGGGTGCTGTGCTAAGGGAGATTACTTAGAGCTCTGTCATCTGAGGTGCTATGGAGGGGGTGCTCCTATCCCTAAGGCCCAGGCAGTTTGCTTGGGGGAGCTTTCATAGCTTTCCAAACCTTTGACATCATGGGAGTAAAGGGAGCCCTACTGGCTGACCTTTGAGTGTGCAGTGAAGCCATCCAGAATCCCTGCGAGAGAAACGGATTTTTGAACTCATTGGCTTTGAAGATTCCATCTGCCACCTGCCCTGGCAAGGTCAGGGTGTATTGGCTGCAACCCTAAGCAGGCTGCCAGATCTCTGCAGGGCTCAGAATTTAGACCTACCCAATTCCTCAGCAGTGAAGAGCTTCTGCCAGGCCAGCCTCCCTTCATGCTAAATCCCAGTGCCCCCATCTTCGTTCTCTCTCCATCTTTCATACACACATGCTCACGAGTACATACTCACATACTCTGTTATCATGAGCACTGAGATTTAACTGCTGGCTTTTGCTTTAAAGCAGACATTTAAAAGGTTCTTAGAGAGCATAACAACAGCCTATCTTTAAGGCCAAGGAAAACAGGGAAAGAAACAGAACTTAAATATGTGCATCTATGTTCAGCCAAATCCTGGATGATCCCTTCCCCTAATCTGACATGATGGCTCACTGGGGTGCAGGCATGGTGGATTCCGGGCCTTTCTCTTACACGACATACATGGATATTTCTTCGTAGGACACAGTCCCATAAAGACACATAGCAGCCCCTCAGAATGTGAGACATGCATAATAACAACTGTATCTGAGAAATTTACTGAGTGCTTATTTTATGTCAGCTACAATGCTGCATTTCATATAAACAGATTGTTTAATCCTCACCATCCCTCTTGTGATACAGGCACTGTCATGGCCACTTTACAGATGAGAACACTGAGGTTCAGAAGGGGGAAAACAAACATCTAGTGAGTGGCAGCACAGCAATTCGAATGTAGGTCCTTCCAACTCCACGTGAATGTTTCTGGCCACTCTGCCTGTTGCCTCCTCCATCCTTACAGCTGCTAGCGAAGCATGGCCAACCTCTCCAATTCTGCTTTTCATCTCTTCTGGTACCATTGCCCCAATTCTGCCAGTTCAACATTCATTTTTAAAATAAAAAAGCATCACTTCCTCTCTCAGGGTGGATCTGGAGTCCCGGACGTGTACTTCAAAGAGACAGGAAGCAACAGGCAGCCTCCCTCTGCCTCTGCTTATATGAAGGTTTGTCCTTCACATAAGCCATGCAGGCATCTCATTCCCTTAGTTCTGCTGTAACAGTTGAGCAATGACCATTGTATTGGCCGAAGTAATTTTAGCTGCCGTAACAAATGACTTCTAAGTTTCAGTGGTTTAACCCTAAACACATTTATATTTCAGTTACATAACTGTGGAGCACAGATTTCCAAAAAGCTGGGTGTGTGGGGTTTGAGGGATATCTCTCAGGTGACAGAATTCGTACCACATCTTTTCCTCAGCAGTGAAGGAAAAAGCCTCCATCCAAGCCTTCTCCCTGCACTCTTCCTTTGTGTCACGCATGCATGTACTGCCACTGAGGGACCGGCGTGCCACGCTCCGCCCAGGCCTACTTCCCTGCCTAGGTCACTGAAAAAAACTGCTTGTGCTCAAATCAGGGCTCATCTCTCAGCCCTACACCACAGCCCTCGTCCTTACTCCTTCCTCATTTCCTGTTTCCTGAGAAGCACAGAGCTTTAACACTCTCTGATACACCTAATTACAAATAAGAATTAAAGTCAGCAATGGCTCATACACGTGCAAAAAGTCTATTACGCCTGCTCTAAATGCTACTGATAGTGACAGGCACTAACAATTTAACGAGCTGAGAGATGGACTCCTTTGAGAATTCCACCAGGAGCTGAAGAAGTGGGGTATAGTTCAGCAGGCACCAGTCCCCAGCTCCTTCTGAAGTGGTTCATAGATCCTGTGAGTCTCCCTTCGGGGTCAATTTTGAGTCTAGGAAAGAATGTTTCTTTGCTCCTATGTCCCAGGGGCAGAACTATCCTTAGGAACCTGCAAATTAGGGGGCCCCAGGCTCTTCTTGAATAAGTCTTGGTGCCCTGATGGTCAGAATCCATAAACCCTGTCTTGCCCTTCTCGTTCCTGCACCACCTCCAACAAAGATGTCCCTTGGTCCCCCTGTCCGGGTTTGGGGCCTCTCTGCCTCTCCACAGCTGCCCTACATGTTCACTTTAACCAGACTCACCTGACTATCAAAGACAGGGGTGCTCACCGGGTGAGGCTCTAGTCTTGGCCTCTCAGGATGGCTTTGCAGGAAACAAAGCCGCCTGCACCAGGAGAACAGAGGAAACTTCTCTGCCTGGAACCCATGTGTCCTCGGTAAATAACTGCTGCTGCCTTCCTGGCTTTCCAATTCCCAGGGGGCTCAGTTCTCTTTACTTATTGAGAGCATGAAGGAGAGATGCTTCACCGAAAATTTCCTCTAAGCACAACAAACATCTCTCTCCTTTGTACTTCTGTAGCACTTTATATGGACAAGAATGGTTATGTTTATGCCTCTCAATGATTAGATTATGTGTCATCTTTAGTTTATCTTATAGTCTGTAAGTTCTACAAGGGAAACGACTGTTTCTTATTCACGTCTGTATTTTCCGTAGCTATTACAGCATTTGACCCTCAGAAACGTTACTTAGGGAGTGCAAATTATTTTTGAGAGAATGAGTTAGTAAATAAATAAGAGAGTGAATCAATGAGCAAAGGTAAGTGGGGAAAGAATGAATGAGAAGTAAGTAAAGGGGGAGGGAGTGAATGAATGAGGATGTGAGTGGAAGGATGATGGCCAGTTGCCTCAAGGTTTTCACTCTCCTCTTCTTCTATGCAAGCAGAACCCTGGTTTTTAGTTGGACACATTGCCACCCAACAAAAAAAGATTACATTTATTACTATTCTCTGCAACTTGACATGTCCATGTGACTAAGTTTTGTGACTAAATTAAATGTAAGTAGCAGTGTTGCATGAGAATTCAAAGAGAATCCTTAAAAAAGGAATGTGTGCCCTTTTGGCTCTTGCCCCTTTGCACATTTCTGTGGCCTAGAAAATATGCAATGGTTGGAGCTTATTGTATAATGAGGGGACTTCAAGGAAAAAAAGCTACACTGGGACAGTGAGGCAGAAAGACAGAAGTCTAGGTCTCCTGTTGACCATGAAGCTGCTAAGATACCCCAGACTGCCTGCCTCTAGACATTTTGTATATAAGAGAGAGAAATAAATTCTCACTTCATTTATTTTTAATTTACAGTTGGTTGTTTTGGTTTTTATTATATGTAGTTGAACCTGATACTAACCAACTTGCCCAGAATCACAGGTTGGTGCCAGAACTGACCTTAGAATCAAGGCCTTTCCGAAGTCAGTCTCAAGTCACTGTGAAGGCCTGAAACTACACACTCACCCACACCTTGCATATGCCCTCCCAGTAGCAATCCAAAGCCTTAACATAGAAGCAGAAAATCTTGATCTTTTAAAAATATAGTCAAAGTAAAGGATGATCCTTGATCAATGTTCAAAACCTCCCAGACCAGTGGGGAGCACAGATTCAGCCTCAAATTGAATGCAAGTCCCAACAGCCCCAGGAAATGCAACCAGGAAAACCTGTCTATGACCACAGATCCTGGTGCACTCATACATTTGGCAGTGCTGCATTTCAACAGTAAAGCATTTACTCTTCTGCAAAGTGGAGCATGTGGATGAGGGTCTTACCTCCACCAGGGAATGCCAGTGTGCAATGGGCTTCCGAGGATACGACAACATTTCACTCCAGTGGTCTCTGCCCAGCCTCTCAGCCTCGTTGCCTACTTGACACACGCCGATGATCTCATTGTGACCTACACTGTGAAAATGGCCCACAATAGTTTTTTCTTTAAATTTTGGTATTTAAGATCAATAGCTACTCAATTAAACTGATGAAGGAATTGGGGAAGTGGTGGTTTTTTTCATTTCCTCACTTAAAACTACAGGCCAAGCTTCACTGCCAATAGGACTTGGGATCTAACATTATTCCCTGGGTTTCCTAACGCTGACATGGGTCAACTTGTCTCCAAGAACCTTGTTCAAAGAACCCCATGATTTGTGCTAATGATGCCACCTCTTGTTTTGGATCCAGGCTGGCCTTCATGTAATAAAAAGGGAGCCATCTCAAAAGAGTTTCTTGCAATAATGGCTGCTCCAGTTCCCACAAGAGGCAACCAAGCATGGGTGAAGGAGCAGTTTTGTGTCTGGCAGCTATGGGTCTCGAGCCTACAAAGTAGCATAAGTGAAGGAGGTGCATGGATCTTCCTGCTCTCGCTCTTTAGAGAATACTGTTACTGTCTTATATTCGTCCCTCCTTTCTTCCAAGTCCAGCTTCTTTGGCCCACTTAATTTCCCAATTATAGAAAGATACACAGCTCCTTTGACCTTGAGGCTATTTTTTTGTATTTTGAGATGGAGTCTCATTTTGTCGCCCAGGCTGGAGTGCAGTGTCGTGATCTTAGCTCACTGCAACCTCTAGCTCTTCAGTTCAAGCGATTCTCCTGCCTCAGCCTCCCAAGGAGCTGGGATTATAGGCAGTGCCACCACGCCTGGCTAATTTTTGTATTTTTAGTAGAGATGGGGTTTCACCATGTTGGCTTGGCTGGTCTCAAACTCCTGACCTCAAGTAATTCACCTGCCTTGGCCTCTCAAAATGCTGGGATTACAAGTGTGAGCCACCATGCCTGTCCAAGGCTAACATTTCTGAAACTTTCCCTAGGTAGGTCCCTGTTTTGGGCCTTTTTGTTTTCCCTAGCAGTTTTTTTAAAGTCCTTGGTATATAATTGGACTGATATGGCCAATTCTTTAACTCTATGGGATCCAAACTCACATACTTTCTCTTTCTTTTTCCCTCTTGCAAAGATGAGTGATTTTTCTCCAGTTTGTGTATGGAGCATAAAGGTGAGATGAGTGTGGGGAGGTTGTGTGAAGGATATTTCAGTCTCTGCTCATTAAAATCAAATGCATGAGAAGCCCCATGAATTCTGCCATGAATTTTTCCAGGCCAGATTCATAAGTTTACTGAGAATTAAATTAAGGCAGAGCTCACATAATCAGATTTGTCCATGCAGGAAACTTGGCAATAACTTAAAAATTGCTGGCCTAGGCTTTCACAGTTGGTGGGCAATGTTGCCTACTGGGGCCTGACACTATTGGTGTTGTTTCTTGCCCACAGGAGATGGGACAAGGTCTACTGCTCAGCATGGGCTGTCACACTCATGGGCAGCTGAGCCAACCCACGTGCTCCTGGGGTTGGAAGACTGTCATGCTTCACGCAGGCATCTGCTGGAAAGAGTGTTCAGGTCACTGAAGCTGCCTTGCTGATATTTCAGAGGCATGTGGGAAAATTCTTAGCCACAATAATATTAGAAGTCAGAATAATTTTTAAAAATAATTGTGCCCAGACCACGTGGGAGGTTTTCCAATTAAAGAGAGACTTTGCATTTCAGTCTAATGACTGGTTTAACATGTACAATTCCCTGTTGCTACTTCCTTTGCATATTAAAATGACTGTTTTTTGGATCTGTCCTTTACACAACTGGCTACAATGCAGGCTATAAATATCTCTTCTGTGCTATATTAATTAAAAAGTCTAGCATCTTATACATTTTAATGTACCTTGTCATCCATCCTGATTTTAGCATTTTCAGGAGAACATTTCTGTGTTTGCTTTCAGACTTAAGTGGATGGAAACAATCTTTATTAAATACTTGTGAGAAGGAAAAAGATTGAAGTTATGTATTTAGAAATGTTGATGGTCTGGCTAAAGTAATCATTCTGCCATTTTGAGTGGAATCTTTCCAGTGAAGGCAGTTAGGACTGCCTGATGGAAGATAAAACCTGTGGGGCCACAGTTATCTAAGCTGAGATTCTAGGAGCTGTGCAAAGATGAAAAGGGGAAGAGGTGGAGGTTAGGGGAAGACGGAGGAAGAGAAAGACATGATAAAGGGGCAGAAAAGAATGGGAGTGCTGAGAGACACGTTGGTAGTCTGACTCTACAGCATGGTTTAGAGGTGACTCCTGTCAACGTCCTTCCCATGCATTGCTAGTTGGCTCATTTCCTAAAGCCTGGGATACCAGCTAAGAATCTGTGGCTGCTGCTCCCCTTCCACCCTCCCAGCCCTGGGCGCAGTGAACTTGCACTGGGAAAGAGTTTCAGGCATCTCACCGGTCATAGTCCATGACCGCTATGGACAAGTGGATCTGGTCAATGTTCTCGGGAGGGACATCAAAGACTATGGCTTCGTTGTAAACAGGATTCAAGGTGTTCCTCTTGGTGGATGTTTTCCTCTTCTTCAGCCGTCTGCCATCACACATCAGCGAGACTTTCACGTAGGGATCTGGACAGACCATGAGAAGCAGGAGTACTGTGAGGATTAGTGTAGATTTAGGTGGGCAGTTTTATTACTGTGGATTTTCATGGACTATGGTATGGAGAACTCCTTTTCCTGCCTGTGGACTGCAGCTGAAGGATTTTTATTAATATTATATCTGGGAGTAACTAGAGTTAGGATAATTAAGTCACTAATTCAAGACAAAGCACAGGATACTGTCTCCTCAAAATGTGTGAAATTTAAAAATAGTTTGAAAGCATCTGTTACTGAATCAGACATTCCAGCTTGAACTCAAGACTGGTCTGGCTGGGATAGGAATAGAAATGCACAGTCATTTCCAATACTGAAAACAGGCCCCCCAACTCTGAGCCACCTCAGGGAATCTTTTCAGGTCTTTAAAAAAGGGAATTCCTAGACTCTCAGAATTTCTGAATTCCTAGAGGGCAGAGGGAACATCTGGGAGTGGAATTCCTTAACTACGGAGAACTTGAGCCCCTAGAGTGGCCTGTCTTTGTATTGCAAGGAGAGAAGCAACACAGCATATCAGGGAGAGAAAGCACACAGGCTTCCTCGTGGTGCAACACTGCAGTGAGGTGACAGGTGGCAAGGCTGGCTTCTGCTCCAGATAGGGCTTTTCTGGTCCTACCAGCTATCTCATTTTCCTTCTCTTCAGTGGGTAGTCCTCATTCTCTTTTTACCTGCAAAACCATGCATTGTTCTGACTCCTACATACAGCCCAGGAGGGACTTAGATGACTAAAGAGACCACATCTTTTTTTTTTTTTTCCCTGCGTAAAAACAAAAACAAAACAAAACAAAGCAAAAAAACACTGGGGTATAAGATGCAGAATATACTGCATCTGATGTTCTTTGATTTCAGAGGATGTAAGTCAGGGTGTACTGGGTGTTTTGTAACCACATTTGGGAAACACCTGCAGAGGTTGCTTGTGAATTTGCACAGTTAGCAATGCAGATAGAGGCATTTTTTTTTGTTAGGGTTCAGAATTTAATGCTTGGTTTACTGGGAAAACTAAAATTAATAGTTCAATTTAATAAGGAAATAGGATTGTTCTCAACCTTCAATGAGCTTGAGATGATGATATTTGAGGAAGGACCCAATTAGATAAGCTTTCTCAGTGTGTGCAAATGGTAGATCCAATTCACAATTATGGTGAGGGAAACCCAAGAGAGAGTACAATTGCCCCTGGTATCCACAAGGAATTGGTTTCAGGACCCTTCACAGATGTGAAAATCCAAGGATGCTCAAGTTCCTTATATAAAATGGCATGGTATTTGCATATAACCTATGTACATCCTCCTGTATACTTTAAATCTTCTCTAGATTGCTTACAATACCTAATCCAAAGTACATGCTGTGTAAATAGTTGTTATACTGCATTCTTTAAAAAAATGTATTATTTTTATTGTTGTATTCTTATTTTTTTCTCGAGTGTTTTCAATCCATCGGTGGTTGAATCTGCAGATTTGGAACTGGTGGATACAGAAGGCTAACTGTGATAACAATAACTAACAATACATAGCACTTAATATATGTTAGACACTGTTCTCATGGCTTTATATTTATTAATTCAGTTTTACAACAGCTCAGTGAGCCAGACACTATAATTACTCTCATCTTACCAGTGGAAATCCAAAGTTCAGAGAGGTAAAATTACTTGCCCAAGGTTATATAGGTGTTAGGACTAGGATTAACCCTATGTAGTCTGGTTCCAGAGTCAATGTGCTTTGTTACCAAACTAAAACTTCATAAGGTACTTACTACATTAGAAGTGCATAAGGAAGTCTGAATTTGAAAATGCCCCACCTGATGCTCCTGTTATGTCCATTGCCTTTAAATTCCTTGCTTTTATAATGGTAATGGTCAGCCTGCCAGCCGTTGGAAGATAGCACAGGGAAAACATCAGCTCTCCCAGATCCACGTTGTCCTGTTGAGAAAGCACAAACTCAAGTATTAGAAAGTGTCTCCAGCCTGGTGTGCAAGAGGCTCAGCTTCAGGTAGAACACTGCCCTTTTTGCTCAGCTTGTGAATCCCTGGTCTCTCTTCCCTTCATGTCAGTCAAAGGGAGAATAATAAATCCCTGCACTTTGGGAGCACCTCATCCTAAGGAAGAATAGCTATCTCTTTTTTTTAATTGTACTTTAGGTTCTGGGGTACATGTGCAGATCATGCAGGACTGTTGCATAAGTACATACATGGCAAGCTGGTTTGCTGCCTCCATCCCCCCCGTCACCTGAATCTGGTATTTCTCCCCATATTATCTCTCTCCAACCTCCCCATCCCCTGCTGTCCCTCCCCTAGTTCCCCCACAACAGACCCCAGTGTGTGATGCTCCTCTCCCTGTGCCCATGTGTTCTCATTGTTCAATATCCGCTTATGAGTGAAAACATGTGTTGTTTGATTTTCTGTTCTTGTGTCAGTTTGCTGAGAATGATGGTTTCCAGATTTATCCATGTCTCTACAAAGGACACGAACTCATCGATTGTTATGTCTGTGTAGCATTCCATGGTGTATATGTGCCATATTTTCCTTGTCCAGTCTATCATTGATGGGCATTTGGGTTGGTTCGAGGTCTTTGCTATTGTAAACAGTGCCACAGTGAACACACGTGTACATGTGTCTTTATAACAGAATGATTTATAATCATTCTATTAGGAAGCATAGCTGTCTTTGGATGGCAAAGCTGTAAGGCTGCTCAGGCCTCTGCCACCATCTATCTAGCCACAGGGAGCCCTGTACAGACTCATCTGTCCAGGTAGCCCAGTACGTATCCTCCAGTGCAGAAGCCTCAGAAGCCTCACAGCCTCAACAATCTTCCACAGAGTCCCCCATATGGCTCCACTCATATCACTACCACAATGCACAAAGAGTCTCTAGTCAAAACTACACAAAGAGGTGCCCTGCAGTGCTGTGGTGCCCCACCCACAGCCCAGGGTAGCTCTGCACACAGCCCATGCAGCAACATGAAGCCTCTCAACAGGTCACCACACCTCCCCACAAACTCCCCTACACAGCATCCTCAAGCTTGCCACAATATCCCTGTATACTCCTGCATACCCCCAACATCCCACACGCAATCCTCATGCCACCAAGCACTGCACACACCCTGGTTGCGCACAACTTGTGCGGATCAGCACATGGCTCCACTGGACCCTGGAAACTTACAACCTGTCACATAGCTCCAAATAAGGACACTGTGTGAACCTGAAAGTGGCACCCTGAGAGCCCACACATTCAGAGCCCTGGACACACCCAGTACTTGCCTAGTCCCACACAGCCTCCATTCAGGGAGAGAAGAACAGAGACCCAGACTCCCAGGTGGCCTCTCACAGTTCCACTTTGCGGCAGCTCTTCCCTTTACTTGGCATGCCTCTAAAGACCCCATTTCCCTCCACTGGGGAATATATCTCAGGCAGTGTGCAGCCGTTCAAATAGGTCAGGAGACACAATTCTCTTTCTCCTTTTAAGCTCAGGGAGAGCATAACCAGAGAGGAGGGGAAAAAAAGCCGTTTCATTTTGTTTCAATTTCTGAGAGAGATACCTGAGGTTATCGAGCTGAGGTGCCTGTGTCTAATTAATACAGTTTCCTACTGACAGTGCTCTGGGGATTCAGGTTTTTGCCCTCAATGTCCACAGCTTTCCCTCCCCTTCTCGGTTCTCCAAGGATGCTTCTATTTTTAGAAGGACAGATTCAGCTCTGGAAGGTCACCTCACCCAACCTCCATTTCTTGATTGCTTCCACAGGAGGATGAGGCAAAGGGACCTATTTGGTCACTAAGGCAGATGGATTACTCTGTATCTTCTTGCATCATGCATTGCTTGCCTCATGTAAATAAATGACCTCATCTTGCAAGCTAGGCTTTCCTGGTTCCTGGAGCCCTGACCTCAAGAAACCCAGTGACTGGGCCTTCCCCTTTTGGGAGCTATGAGGGCTTGGGGACTAGAATTCTGCAGGACTGGAGGTTTTATTCACAGCAGGCTCTGACTTGCTCTGTGGTGCTGGGTTCCCTACTGCAGGAGTAGTGTCTGGCCTCACTGAAGGGAAAAGGATTGACCCAGCCTACTGCTGATGGAAAGGAAAGGGAGACCACAGCTGTCCCCACACATCGCCCTTTTGTTTCCTTACTCCCTGGCCCACTTCTTTGCTCTTCAACTTCTGTTCTTCCTTTAAAAGGCTTTTCACGATACCTAGGTCTCTCCTCTCCCCTCAACCTTCTCAGAAAATCTTGATTTAGCAAAGTAAATACAGAATTAACCAAAACTATGCCTATGAAGCTTCATAATCAATTCCTTCAATATACATTTCCTGAGGGCCCTCACTGTGCAAACACTTTGTAAGGTTCAGGATGTGAAAATGCATGCTGTCTAATCTCTGCCCTCAAGGCTGATGCACATAATTAAATGTGATATGTCAGATTAGTTCCATGCTAGGTATTTTGGGTTGTTTGTTTTCCTCATCATAAGCCCATTCACAAACATTTATACAACATGGCTATTTGCTCATAAGTAAAAGAAAAAAAATCGAACCTCAGATTTGATGGTATGTATATCCAGAATTGAACCAGGCAAACTCTACATTTGTACTTAAAAAAATAGCAAATTAGGTGGCTGCAGTGGCATCTGCCTACAATCCTAGCTATGCTGGAGGCTAAAGCAGAAGGATCACTTGAACCCAGGAGTACAAGCTCAGCCTAGGAAATCTAGCAAGATGCTGTCTCTTAAAAAAAAAAAGAAAAAAGAAAAAAGAAAAAAAGAAACAAATAACAGGCAGCTATGTGCCTCTTCCATGGAGAAGAACCAAAATAGCAAGCAGATATTTGCACTTTGAATAGATCATCTAAGAGAGAACACTGGAATTCAACAAAAAAGTGACAGAAAGCACCAAAAGTAACAAAGGAAAAGGAAGCAATGCAGCCTGCTCAGCTGGGTTTGGGTGGGAGCTGGCAGAAGCTCCTTAATGTGGGGAAAGGGTAAGTGAGAGACCTCCTAGGGTCCACATTCCCACACATGCTATCCTACTCACAGGAGAGCCCCTCAACCCTCACAGGCCTTGAGACTAAGACAGAGAACTGCCTAGAAATTGTCTACTGGTATTGCTTCAAAGAGGGAGCTCATGCTGTGACCCACAGGCCCCTAAGCCCTGAGCACAGTGACATTCTGAAAGCTGAGCCTCCAAAGGACTATGTCTTGCCCTGGTTTCAATGCCACTGATCCTGCCATCAGGCCAGGGAGAGATAAGACCAGATGCTTCCATGCACCCTAAGGATAAATTCCACTGTCACTAGTGGTGCAAGCTGCTGGGGGACTGAGGCACAAGCAAATCACATGCTGCACAGCTACCTACCTATGCTGTTCCCAATGAGAATGTTTGTGCCCTCCCCAGTGGCAGCCCTGAACTGAAGCCACCACTGTCCTCACCTGAGCATTCTGTTGACTACTTGGGGACCACCCAGTTCCTGCCTATCATAGCCATGCCTTAACATATTTCCAGGTGGCCTGAGGACAAGTCTCAAATCTGCCAACCTGGTCCTGTCTCGTCAGTACTTGAGCATGCCATCCAGGGGCCTGGAAATCACCCAACCTAGTCCACCACTGTTGGTACATGTGCATTCTTCCCAGGGTCTGAGGTGGGGGCAACTCAACCACCTGATACCTCCACAATTAATACCCACTTGCAAGCATCATGAGACTGGCCCATCTAACTCATTGCAGCTCAGACTAACTTAGATTCCAGTGAGTGGCCCAATCAGTGCTACTGCCCACATCAAGCCTGCTAATCAAGGGCCAGAGAACCTGTCCACATGCCAGGCCCTGTGCTGCCACTACTAGCATTTCAGCAAGCCACATGGAAGCCCAATAATTGGTCCACCTGGATCCACTAATACCAGAGCCAGTATATATCACTCTGGAGCCCAAAGACAGGAATCTTCAGCCTACTGCTGTATCCTTGAGGCCAGAAGACTGGCCCACCTAATTACCTAGTTACCACAGTCTCCACTAATAACTACACCCTAAGCCATCAAGGAAATCAGAAATACCACTGACACTATTTGTAGCCAAGAAGATCATACAGAGACTACACTATTGCTTGCATCCAAAAATCAAAGCCAAAGCGCCCTACTCAACCAACATTTTAGATAATCTTCAGAAAAAAAGTCCCCTCTACAAAAGCAAATTAAAAAAATTGGAAGAAGTGATTGTTACACCGATGTGCAGATATTAACATAAGGACACAGGAAACATGAAAAAGCAAGGACATCTTCAAAGGAACACAATAATTCTACAGCAACAGAGACCAATAAAAGAATCAGTGAGATCCTGGGTAATTCAAATTACTGATTTTAAAGAAGTTCAGCAAACAAGATAATTTTGAAAAACAATACATAAAATTGGAAAACAATTAACCAAAGAGATACACATTTTTTAAAAGAACCAAACAGAAGTTCTAGAACTGAAGAATTCATTGAATGAAATATAAAATACAGTAAAAACCTCCAACAATGGATTCGATTAAGCTGAAGAAAGAATTGCAGAACTTGAAATCTTTTGAAATAATCCAGACAAAAATAAATAAAAAGAATAAAGAAGAATGAGAAAGGCTTTGTAACATATGGGACATAACATAAAGTGGCTCAATATTCTAATTATCAGTGTCCCCAAGGGCAAAGAGAGAATGAAAGGGTTAGAAAGTACATTTAATGAAATAATAGATGAAAACTTCCCCAATCTAGAAAAAGACTTATATAGGGTGCTCAGAGAGTCTCACGCAAATACAAAGCAAGAAGGTCTTCTCCACAGCACATTATAGTCAAACTATTTCAAGTTAAAGATAAAGAGGGGATTCTAACAACAGCAAGACAAAAGTGTCTAGTCATCTATAAAGGAAACCCCAACAGAAATATTTCTCAGTAGAAACTATACAGGGCA